AAAAAAAAAAAAGCCGAGCACAAACACATAGAAGGGAGGGCGACTACCTACCCACTTCAAAGGCCCAGGTGCATTTTCATATTCATGCATCTTCTCAATGCCAAAAACAGAATAGTGCATCACAGAAGACATAAGTGCAGCAATAGGAGCAACTCTCCTTTTGTTGCAGCTGACATGTAAAATCCAAGAAGAGCGCACCAGCTTCCACATCATCTGTGCTGAGTGTTGATCAATAAGTTCGATTTCATGGAAAAATTAACTTAAATAAATAAGTGAAAATGACATACAACTTGAAATAAAGGAAATTAACATATCAAATACACAGGTTAAGCATACCTGGATGTCTATGCCATGACAAGCAGAAACCATTGAACCTTTCCTTCCTAAAGCTAACTGCTCCATGATCAATCTGACAGATCTCAGCATGGGTAAAACAGAAGCCTCTCCAGCATTCTCAAGGCTGCAACCATATCAATCTCTACCTCAGTAGCAGTAAATGCATTAATGATATAGACAAATGGTTTTGGCAATGAACTCATATCCTAGATCTTCAGTTAAATTTAATGACAAGTCCAATATGTTGATGAAATTTAAAAGACTCACCAAAGAGACGCTTCCTGTTCAATAGAAATTTCGGCTACTAAGCTTTACAATCTAAAATGTACAAAATAAACCTTCCATTTCTCAACTAAAATGAATCAAACCCTAGTTATTCTAAGCAAAACCTAAAAAGAACAAGAACAAAGATGAAATAAAAAGAGTCAAGTTTTCCCACATTAGCCTAGTTTAAACTTTAAAAATTAAAAGAAAAATATTTGAAAAAAAGAAGAAGAGAGAAAGTATTACAAGGTGCAGCAGGTAGGAGGGGGGGGGGCATGTAGGTTTAATTAGGGGAACCAAAATATTGAGGAGCTGAGGTTGGCTATTAGCAAAAAGAGGCCATAAGGAACTGTAAGGTTTGAGAGCAGGTTACACGAGGCTAGGAATAAGGAAGGATGTCAAAAGCTCTGGTTACTGCAGAATTGACGAGGTAGGCACAAAAGTTTGATTTTGGAAAATGAAGAATTTCTTTTGACAGGAAATCTTAATGCAAAGTGTTGCTCAACAATCTTTAGTTTAGATAAGAAAATAACCTCACCATTTCAATTTATTAGTGGTAGAGAATTCTACTTTTGATAAGAAAGAGAGTTAGTACAAAACTCATAATTCAAGGGTAAAGTAGAATTAACCCTGATAATTTCTAATTTAGTGATTGCTGAGAAGATACATATGGTTGTGCTTACCTGTCAACAAGATCATCGAAAGTCCATAAAAGTGTTGTGTCTGAGAAGTGAAAGTTATGTTTTCTCAAGTGAACTTCACTCTTAAGTGCATGATTTGGAATTGATAGCAGCAGCTCGAGGCATATCCACTGAAATCATACAAGAAGACCGTCTTATCATGGGTAGCACATCAATTTCAACAACCACAAGTAAAATTATTAACATATAAAAGAGGAATGCACTGGCAAGTTAAACCAGAAGAAGGTAAAGAAGAATAAACTCCAACAATCTCACTGATCCTCTAAAATAATAACAACTAGCATCAAAGCAAGTATCTAGTGGTTATATTTTTATCTCGACGGAGAAAATTATCCCCAACAATTACCTACTTATATTTACTACTCTAACTGCTTCCCAAAAGCTAACAATCTTTCTCTTCTCTTTTGCCGTCTAAATAATTCAAACAACAGGTAGTAAACTAGTATTAATTTAAGCCTCTTTTTAATAAGTAATTATTTTAAGCAGCTTCGTTATCCATTTCTTGACCAATCCAACTTGATTCCACCTGAAACTTTCTTGCTTAGGTAGCAAAATGAACACATTGATAATATTCAAGATAGCTATCTGTATTACATTTTTGAATATTCAAGATAGCTATTTCTATGTCCACTTGCCCATTTTTTCTAGCCTCAGCTGTAAGACATACATTCTTCTTTGTGTATTCCAATTGCAACACCGATACACCAGCTTTTCCAAATGGGTTGTGTCATTCTTTGATCTATGCCATGGGTTCTCATCTTCACTACTTCTAGAGGATATGCCAAAGCTTTTAGGCTACAAGCTCGAGCTACAGGGAGATGTTTAGGATAATTACGTGCTCTTTAATTTCATTTTCAGGTGATGCATCAGAGATGCCAAGTATTATTAGTCCTTCAATACCGATACACCAGCTTTTCCAAATGGGTTGTGTCATTCTTTGATCTATGCCATGGGTTCTCATCTTCACTACTTCTAGAGGATATGCCAAAGCTTTTAGGCTACAAGCTCGAGCTACAGGGAGATGTTTAGGATAATTACGTGCTCTTTAATTTCATTTTCAGGTGATGCATCAGAGATGCCAAGTATTATTAGTCCTTCAATACCGATACACCAGCTTTTCCAAATGGGTTGTGTCATTCTTTGATCTATGCCATGGGTTCTCATCTTCACTACTTCTAGAGGATATGCCAAAGCTTTTAGGCTACAAGCTCGAGCTACAGGGAGATGTTTAGGATAATTACGTGCTCTTTAATTTCATTTTCAGGTGATGCATCAGAGATGCCAAGTATTATTAGTCCTTCAATACCGATACACCAGCTTTTCCAAATGGGTTGTGTCATTCTTTGATCTATGCCATGGGTTCTCATCTTCACTACTTCTAGAGGATATGCCAAAGCTTTTAGGCTACAAGCTCGAGCTACAGGGAGATGTTTAGGATAATTACGTGCTCTTTAATTTCATTTTCAGGTGATGCATCAGAGATGCCAAGTATTATTAGTCCTTCAATACCGATACACCAGCTTTTCCAAATGGGTTGTGTCATTCTTTGATCTATGCCATGGGTTCTCATCTTCACTACTTCTAGAGGATATGCCAAAGCTTTTAGGCTACAAGCTCGAGCTACAGGGAGATGTTTAGGATAATTACGTGCTCTTTAATTTCATTTTCAGGTGATGCATCAGAGATGCCAAGTATTATTAGTCCTTCAATACCGATACACCAGCTTTTCCAAATGGGTTGTGTCATTCTTTGATCTATGCCATGGGTTCTCATCTTCACTACTTCTAGAGGATATGCCAAAGCTTTTAGGCTACAAGCTCGAGCTACAGGGAGATGTTTAGGATAATTACGTGCTCTTTAATTTCATTTTCAGGTGATGCATCAGAGATGCCAAGTATTATTAGTCCTTCAATACCGATACACCAGCTTTTCCAAATGGGTTGTGTCATTCTTTGATCTATGCCATGGGTTCTCATCTTCACTACTTCTAGAGGATATGCCAAAGCTTTTAGGCTACAAGCTCGAGTTACAGGGAGATGTTTAGGATAATTACGTGCTCTTTAATTTCATTTTCAGGTGATGCATCAGAGATGCCAAGTATTATTAGTCCTTCAATACCGCGAATTATTTCGAACAACTGTTTTGCTCAATGCCACCACCACCCTCCTTCAGTCTTTTGCCTACCTTTTAAGATGAATATCACATGTTCAATATGGATACACTAGATATAATCTCCTAGTACATATAACCTTATGCATGTATCAAGTAAAGGCAAAGAAGATCACCTTCCAGTTCAATAAAACTGCTCGTCGAGTTCGTGCCAAATTGCCCACTGCAACTATGCTGTTGATGTTCTGAAGCAAAGTCCTGAGTAAGGAATCCAAGACTGATTTACCATCAGCTTCTAATGGAGTTAACTCATCATTTTCTGTGACATGATCCAACGACAACAGAGAGAACATGGACACTAATCCATCCAAAGCACCAGCCAGTGCTTCATATGCTGCTAGGCAGATTTCCGCCTCAATCTGGTTGAGGAATTAAAAAAGAACAATGGAAGCAAGATAGTCAAATGAATTGGCCGTTACATTTTAATGTATGCCTATACATACCCATGATTTTCTAAAACTTACCTCTGAATTACATGCCAGAGATGTACTACTAATTTTCCAGCAAAAATTCCACAGATAGGTAACAACAGATTTGAGCGAAGCATCAGCGCCAAACTGTGCGGACCAACTGAAGATGGAAGCAACTGCTTTTATAGACGTCACCTATCCAAAGGTTTGTTAGAACACAAAGTGAGAAAATTATGTATCTGATTACAAGAAAAAAAAATAGAAAACAAACTAGGCATTCTGGGAATGAGGAGAAAGGATTGATTGATTGCTCAAATGCCTACGGAGAAGCATTAAGAATTGTGTCTTTATGTGAAGAAAACATATTGAACACTTACAGAAACAATTCCACATACACCCTATTTATCAAAAGATCAAACACCTAGGATATTTGACAGACAGAATTAGGTATCACTTCTTTCTTTCTTTCTTTTTTTTTTTTTTTTTTTTTTTTTTTTTTTGAGGAAGGGAATTATGTACCCCTTATATCTTACAAACAACTAGAAGACAACAATTATTTTTTTGATAAGATAGAAGACAGCAATCATGAATATACCTGACAGATTTCAAATGAAGTTTCATGATGAACTACATTGTTAAAAAGAATAAGAAAGGATTTTCATAGAAAATTGAGGATTAGAAAACAAAGGTTAAGGCACAGAGAGCAGATCTTCCAACATCTTAAACTAAGCGCATTTCAATGCAAACAGTTGTCTTTCATTAGTGAATACATCTAAAGAGTCACATACATATCCAAATATTAGATGTCGAGACCCTAAATGCTAGAGATTATTAGTTTACAAAGATGCGTTTAATTCAAAATAAAACCATGATAAAAGGATATGAATTATAGATGCTACATCAACATCAAAGGCCCTGCACGAATGCAGTATACATGCCCACAAAATTATGTACATAGAGGATCATACAGCCTGCAAAACTGAACTGGTCATTGAAGATGACAACCGACGCTGACTTGGACCACCCAGCCTGCCTCGGATGGAACCAGAAAAATCCCCACACTCTTCCATGTGTTTTGACCAAAAAATGCTGCATGACGTTCCAGCATATGAGACTAGTGCATCCTGTAAGCAGGCAGTTCAGGATTTTAGAGAATTCTCGAGAAACCATAAATGAAATAACATAGAAGAGTCCTGGTAGCTAACCAATATAGAGAAAAACAATTTAGAGAACTCCGCAAAAATGATCGAGTTTTTCATCATTGAATATTGGCCAACTTTGTCAGAATTCTCAAGGCTTGTTTTCGAGCTTCCTGTTTTCAAGCAGTCAACTGCTCTCCCTTGGAGTACTTGTAGCTCATGGATGAAGCTCAAGAGAAGTACGAGAAATTTCACAGGTACCCACTCCAAATTGTTGCTCACATCGCATAAATTATCCCCATGGTCCTGCATAAACTGTGCATACAAGTTGCTACGAGTGTTACTACCCTATAACTGGCACTTATGCATAGCTAGGCAAATTTAGAGAGCCATCACAAGGCCAAATCTCATGTACTTGATCATCAAGAATTGCTCAAACACAGCCAGACACTTAACAACAACTGATGCAATGTTATATGACAAAACAGAAGAAACCTGTACAGGACATGGCTAGCTAAGGTGAAACAGCAGCCTAGAATAAATGACGACGAGAAGAAAATATAAATCAGATGTCCTCAACCATAAGTCCAACTCCCAATTTTCCTCCCTCAGCTGTTTGTTTAAACCACATCACAATTCTCTTCCGAAAAGGATAAAGAAAAGAAAGCACATGAACACAACAGAAAGCAAGCATCGAAATGAAAATATGCTATTAGCCATCTACAGTTACTCAGAATTACAACAACCTTATAACAACTGGGACCAAAAACTATTATATAATTCGTAGGCCAAATAAGCTCCACATTGTATGGGAACTAATGCATAAGTTAGCAAATTTAGAGAACACCATCACAAGACCAAATTTCATTTACTTGGTCATCTCTAAGAATCACTCGAAAACAAACAGACACTTAACAACAACTGATGCAATGTTATATGATGAAAGAGTAGAATCCTGCTTAGGGTGCATCTAGCTAAGGTGAAACATCAGCCTAGAATGAATGAAGACAAGAGAAGTACGTAAAAATGGGATATCCTGATCCACAACTCTCACTCCCACTTTTCCTCCCTCAGCTGTTTGTTTAGTCCCCATTCTTATTGTCTTCCTAAAAGGATAAAGATGAGAAAGCACATGAACACAAGAAAAACAAGCTTAGAATGAAATATGCCATTAGCCAGTTACAGCTACTTCAGAATTTCACAAGATTAGACAAGATCGTAAATGACCATACTCAACAAGAATTACAAGTTAGACATATAAAGGATAAAATAGAGGAGGCTGCCTGAAGTTGTTTGCCATGTCATAAACCTTCAAATGCACCGGTTAGACACTGATGATAAAAGCTGATAGAAGAGTACTCAGTACGAGGTAAAATCATATAGAAGGAAGTTGTATCAAAACATTTACAATCCCTTGAATCCATGTGAACTTATCAAAGAAAAATTCATATGGAAGCAAAAGATCTATATAGAGATGCCAACTAGTTGAAATTAAAGCATGGTCTCGTATAGCTACACTTATATAAGTCAGGTGTTCACACAATTCTTTCTACTTAGTGTAGAGATTTGTATCAGCAGCGAAGATAGAGTGAAACCTCCAGCGTTAGAGAAAACCTAATGTGTATTAAAAGACAATATATTGAGTATTGCAATGAGACTAGTCCAAATGAAGCAGAATGCAGTAGCCAAATCCAAACTAGTTCGCAATTGAGGCGTAATTGCCATTGTTATGTGTTCTAAATAATCCGTCAAAATAGCGCAAAGAACAGTAAATTATTGTGAAGCGCACTGTCAGGTCCTTATTTCTAATAAGCATAGAGAAAGCAAACCGTGAATATTGGATTCAAGTCCTCTTCTTCCTTGATAACAAGAAAAAGCACCCTTGTCCATCTTTTTGCTTCAGATCCCCAAGAATCCAAGTCTTCATCATCATAGGTAACAGAAGTACCAATTGCATGACAAGAACTTATCAACTTTCTCTGGTAACCAATGAGAGATTCCAAAAGCTTGAGATTTGTTTGTACACGGTCAGATATAGAAGGTTTGTCGCTGCTAATCCAAAGCCAATCTTGCACCCTTGATCTCAAAGAACCTAAATTGGCAAAGGGAAAGGACCTTGTTTATCAATATTTACTTCTGAAAAAAAAATAGTCTATCAATATCTGCAAATAGATGAATCAAAGATATTCCAAAAGCAAATCAGCATGCTGGTAAAAGGATATGCACGTACACATTGTCATACCTCCATTATCAGTAATTTCTCGCGGCAAGCTTGAAATGAGAAGTAGAAGTGTTTCAATTGGAATGTCAAGAGGAATCATCACAGAAGCAGCAGCAGCTAGAATGTTCTCACAAACTGGATGAAACAAGATGGATTACCATGATTGTGAATTAAAATACTGATGATGAAATTTTCAGCACTACCAACAATCTATTTATGGACCTTGGTGCCGATAAGATGGATTGAAATGTTGTTTAGTGCTTTCAATAATATATCGGAAACTGTCGAGCAAGTCTGCTTTATCACTCATGTAAGACTCCTCCTGTGCATATTTATCTTGCAAAATGACTGGTGATATATCACCGCATTGTCCAATACCATAAGCTGCTGAAGAAATGCACTTTGTAAGGCACATTAATCCAGCTCGTCCAAAAGATTGCCTCTTAGCAATGGAAGCCAAACTATTCAGAAAAGCAACCCGATTCCTGTCACCAAATGAAACTTCAAACTATTAAATTGGTTTTATAAAACCAGTTCAATGATGGCTCTCCTAGAAAAATCATGTTGAAGTCTATGTTGCTTGGTACTGGAGATTTAGAGGAGGTGCAATTCGCCACTGAGATTAAAAAAATACGACCTTTGAATATCCAAGAAAGTCATTTTGGATATAGTGAAGACCCAAAAACAAAATTAAAATAACTAAGATGCTTAATACAGAGATGAAAAGCATGGCAGAGTAATAATGGAGACACCAGTTCCACATTCCAATTGGAAGAGCTTATAGACTAGAGACAATCTATAATACAGCTCCTTAATTGCTTTATCAGGAGTGTTGTATGTATAATTTCATGTTTCAAAAGTGCTCCTTCAAGAGACCATCCATTTTCAAAATATTTTTTTAATACCGAGAAATCCTCAAGGGCCAGATGGAGCATCATCTAAGACACGTGGATATTGGCGCAGCTCTATCCTTCTCGTGAGCCGTGATGTGCACTTAGCTCACACATCATGCGCTGCACTTTGACCACTTCAACCTCGGCCTAAATAGCCAACTAAGATTTTATTGAATTCCTTACTCGTCGTAAGATGAAGGAGAGGATTCCACCAGCTATCTCGGTGTGAGAAAGCACGGGAGAAAAATATATTATTGATATTCTATTCTGAAAATGTTGGTTTATGTTTAGTCAACAATGGCATGCTGAAAATGTTGGTTTATGTTTAGTCAACAATGGCATGCCAATTGGAAGAGTTGGTGGAAAGAGTTGGTGTGGATGCTAGGAGGAAGCTTCCTCCTTTGATGTCACCCATGACATCAAGAGGAGGTAGTTTGATGTCACCAATGACATCAAGAGGAGGTCTTTACCTCTATAAATAGATGCACTCCTTCACTTGTAGAAATCATCCCAAAATAATACAATACATTGTAGTGAGTAGAGAGTTAAGAGAGAAATTCTCTTAAGTGTAATTGGGAAATCTCCCCTTCCTTTGTTAATATTAAAAAGGGCAATTGTTCTCTGGTGGACGTAGGATTATTTTGATCCGAACCACGTTAAATCTTGTGTTCTTTCTTTTACGTTTCCGCTAACATATTCAATTATAATACAATAAGCTCTATTTATACAATACATATTCTACTCCTATTCTATGTGGGACTACGGCTAATTCACATTATTTACATAACTATCTAACACTCCCCCCTCAAGCCGGTGTATACAAATTATATGTACCGAGCTTGTTACATACGCAACTAATACGAGGACCAGTGAGGGACTTGGTAAAAATATCTGCATGTTGATCATTCGACTTCACAAACTTTGTAGTAATATCTCTTGAGAGTATTTTTTCTCCGACGAAGTGATAGTCAATCTCAATGTGTTTAGTTCTCTCATGGAACACCGGATTTGATGCAATATGAAGGGCAACTTGATTATCACACACAAGTTCCATCTTGCTTATCTCACCAAATTTCAACTCCTTGAGCAACTGTTTGATCCAAACTAGCTCACATGTTGTCATAGCCATTGCTCGATATTCTGCTTCAGCACTAGACCGAGCAACCACATTCTGTTTCTTGCTCTTCTAAGATAGCAAATTACCTCCTACTAAAACACAATATCCAGACATAGAACGTCTATCAGAAGGTGATCCTACCCAAACATCATCTGAATATCCAACGATCTACTCATGGCCTCGATCCTCAATCAATAATCCTTTGCCCGATGCTGATTTTATAAACCGAAGAATGCGGGCAACTGCATCTCAATAACTATCACAGGGAGAATCCATAAACTGACGCACAATACTCACAAGAAAGGAAATGTTAGGTCTAGTCACTGTGAGATAATTTAATTTACCAACCAGTCGCGTATATCTTGCAGGATCACTAAGCGGCTCTCCACGTCCTGGCAGAAGTTTAGATTTCAGATCCATAGGAGTGTCAACAGGTCTACAACCTTTCATTCCTGTCTCCTCAAGAATGTCCAAGGCATACTTTTGTTGTGAGATCACAATACCTGAACTAGATTGAGCGACCTCAGTACCCAAAAAATACTTTAATCTGCCCAGATTCTTAGTCTGAAAGTGCTGAAAGAGATGGTTCTTCAACCAAGTAATATCATCCTGATCATTGCCGGTAATAACAATATCGTCAACATAAACCACCAGATAAAGATAGAGATTTGAAGCAGAATGCCGATAAAACACAGGGTGATCAGCTTCATTACGAGTCATGCCAAACTCCGGAATAATTGTGTTGAACTTACCAAACCAGGCTCGAGGAGACTGTTTTAGACCATAGAGGGATCGGCGCAACTGACATACAAGGCCACTAGACTCCCCTTAAACAACAAAACCAGGTGGTTGCTCCATATAAACCTCACCCTCAAGGTCACCGTGAAGAAAAGCATTCTTAATAATTAATAGAGATGTCAATGCCGAACAACAGCCATGGATAGAAAAAGGCGTACTGATGATATTTTAGCCATGGGAGAGAAAGTATCACTATAATCGAGCCCAAATATCTAAGTATATCCTTTGGCAAAGGACGAGCCTTAAGTCGATCAACCTAGCCATCTGGACCAATTTTGACGGCACACACCCAACGACAACCAACAATAGATTTACCTGAAGGAAGAGGAACAAGCTCCCAAGTACCACTCGTATGTAAAGCAGACATCTTGTCAATCATTGTCTGTCGATATCTTGGATGAGACAATGCTTCACTTGTAGACTTAGGAATAGAAGCAGAGGACAAAGATGATACAAATGCATAATAGGATGATGATAGACGATGATAACTTAAACCGACATAATGGGGATTAGGATTACGTGTAGACCGTATACCTTTTCGAAGTGCAATCGGTTGACTAAGAGGAGACAAGTCCATAGTAGGAGCAAGGTCAGGTGTAGGACGTGAATCCGTTGGGTCTAATGCTAGGCGCGGGCGACGATGATAAGTTAGGAGTGGTGGAGTTGTAGGTGGTGGAGCTGAAACTGGAGTTATAGGTGATGGAGCTGGAGCTGCAACTAGAGTTGTAGGTGGTGGAGCTGGAGTTGTGGAGGAAGATGAATGGGAAATAAAGTCCATTTGATTCATGTCCGGTACCAATGATCCGCACCTATAGCTCCAGCTCCACCACTCCCATTCATCAAATGGCAACTGGTTTGAGACCTTTTGGCTATTGTGACTATTGGAAAAGATTGTGAATATGAAATAGTAGTGAAAAGAGATTTATTACCAGAAATGTGATCAGATGCACTTGAATCAATGACCCAAGAATCGGAGGATGATGATTAGGAGACACAAGTCACACTATTACTTGTTTGAACAACGGAAGCTATCTTTGAAGATGTCTGTTTACATGCTTTGTACTGAAGGAACTTAATATAATACGATAGAGAAACCATCCAACTATTCATAGTACATCCCATTTCGCTACAACCAATTTCTCAAATTCTTGACTAAAACTTGTATGGTTAACTTAGAATGCCGAATCAGAACAAGTTAAGCTGGAGACTTTTTTTTTTTCCTTAGTTAGATGAGTTCAAAGGGAAACCAAGTTCTTCACTTGTAATAGTGAAAACCTGAAGAAATATCTAGGAATACACTATTCACAACATGAGAAAAATTTCCACGCCGGAATCACTGTTCATGCCAGAAAAGTGCACCGTTCATGCCGGAAAAGAACAAAGTTGTCAGAATTTGATGTAATCTATATGGGTAGGCTCGGAATCACAGGGCGACCAAACAGTCCTAAAGAAACTTTGTCAAAAACTGGCCAGAAAACATCTCACACGCTGGCGCATGAGTCGGAGTCTCGCCGGAAAATATTTTGCCGACGGCGCGGGAGGGTACGCGGGAGGGGCTCTGCCAAAGAAATTTTTACGGGTTGATCGCCGGAAGTTGATCTACCTCGTGGTAGTGTTAGTTTTTGCACGACACTGATGGATATGAATGAACTTTCTTGTGGACAGACATTCGGTCACTGAAAAATTTTCCATTTTTCTTATTTGTTCTTCCCGGAATCGCTGGTATTTTTGCACAGCGAAGGATCTCTCACGGTTGCTCTTATACCATGTGAGAAAGCACGGGAGAAAAATATATTATTGATATTCTATTCAATTATAATACAATGAGCCTTATTAATACAATACATATCCTACACTCCTATTCTATGGGGGACTGCGACTAATTCACATTTTTTAAATAACTATCTAACACTCATGAAATAACTGATCCTCCAACTTCCATATTTGCTTGGTAGGAAATACCAGATCCTCGACAGTTGTTTACAAGCTAGATTACGCTTCCAGGCTATACTGCAAAAGCAATAAGTCTCTCTCTCCTCACAAATAGTAACTTTCTTCCGAAGTTTGCTAAAATATTCTCCATGAGAAACAGGACAAAATCGTGTAAGATTAGGACTTTTTGTTTTTGTTTAACTTCTGGAGCACCCACGACAATCCTTATTAAGTATATGGGTTACTGTGGCTGTTTTAGCATTTGCCATCAAAAACAGATGAGGAAATTCATCCTTTAGAGCAATATCACCACGCCAAACTTCAAACAAAACCTGAAAACAGTTCCTTTTTCCTACTGAGTAGCCAACAGATTTTTTTGGATCAGGAAAATGAAAGGGAATTGAACCCTACATGAACTGAGTAGCCTACAGATTTTGTGAACTGACTGAACTCTTTTCCCCCCTTTATAGTCTCTTTCATAAGTAATCCCATATGTTTGGATCATTTCGTCTTAGACATCATGCAAGGTGACTATTCCTATTCTTCACTTAATCACTTCCTTGCACAAAGTGTTCTCCTCATCTGCAAACTTCCATTACTATTTTAGAAGGTTTAAGTTTAAAACAATCAGCTTCCACACACAATCCCTTTTTAATCAGACTGCGACTCGCTTCCAACTCATAAATAGGTCTATCACCACTAATTCCATCCAATAAAAATTATAAAATTCCAATCCTAATAGTTGAAGTAAGAACTTATCAATATGTGATAGCATACCTTTCATCTAGATAGCTACTGTACTGGGAAAAAAATTCGGCAGCAGCTTCAATTGTCCGGGTAGAGTAAACTCCTCTTACACCTATGTAACATATGCACAAACAAAAGAATCAGTACAGTTCAACAGTATGTCTGAACGGCTATAGAATGTTACTAATTCTTTTTTTTTTAAATAACGAAATGTATTAATTGTTCAAGCACAAAGAAAGTGCTAGAGATACAAAAGACACATAGGATTTTTCTCCTTTCTCAAGGAGCTCAAGAAGTCCATCACTGTATCAAAAATGAATTACAACTTTCAAATTAGAGAAGTTTTATTTTGTGTCTCATACAACTTACACTAGTTGCATGAGGCTCATTTTTGTCTCACAAATTTGTGGACCCCAATTTACAATTCTGGGTCCATAGAAATCTGGGTCCACAAAATTGTGAGACAAAAAAGTTGCCTCATACAACTAGTGTCAGTTATATGAGACACAAAATAAAATTTTCCTTCAAATTACATCAATGGCTCTGTTGATCATGCATTATTCTTCTCCACCAGAGGGTAATATTATTAGAATCTTACTAAATCTTTTTTTTAAATAACGAAATGTATTAATTGTCCAAGCACAAAGAAAGTGCTAGAGATACAAAAGACACATAGGATTTTTCTCCTTTCTCAAGGAGCTCAGGAAGTCCATCACTGTATCAAAAATGAATTACAACTTTCAAATTACATCAATGGCTCTGTTGATCATGCATTATTCTTCTCCACCAGAGGGTAATATTTTTAGTCGTCCATCCGCCTACCAAGACCCCATATTTTTCTGCAATCACCCCCCTTCATGAAGTATAAACAAATGATAAGTGCCTTATGTTTTATTTTGGGACATCCAGAAAGGACAGTTTGAGTTACAATTTTTTTTTCTTTTGAGATGGTAACATTTCAGTTCCAGTTCTCCAGGAGAGAAAGGAGTAGCCTGACTCAAATTTTCTCCCTCATACACTGAGGCTCTGCCCTTCTCACTTCTCAGAAACCTTTGTGTACCATAGTCCTCCATTCTAAAGCTTTTGATATGCCAGTTTCATAATACTAAAGCTTTAGCCCTAAAGTGTCAAGAAATTCCAAAATCAGGCAACCCAAATCCAATTACAAGGTAGCAGAGGTCATCCGTTCTCCATTTGCTTCCACATCGCACCACCCACATCAGCCGCTTGTAAAACGCCACTTGAGCAACAAAGGACAAAATGGACCACAAAGACATACATGTCCTACAAGTGATCTAGAGATAAACATACCAAAATCTTTGTTGTGCACAGGATCATTCAGTCCTTCTACAAGTGAACCAGTAACGAAATTTTGCGGAACCAACTTTGCACAGTGGTTGTATTTTGTCCACTCTGTACACAGAAATGACCGCATGACCAAGCACCGAACTGCAATGGGAAAAAGAAAAGGAATAAAAAAAAGTAGCAGAATATTAAAAAAGGAATTTTAAAAAGTAGCAGGATATTAATGTGGTAAATCATTAAAACAATCAATCAGATAAGTTTTCTCTACCATAATATATATCAGTCTACTATTTTTTTCCCTCTACCTTGAGGATTATCATGACAAAAACCACGTTCCCACAGTACAGCTAACCACTCAAAAATTTCTTCTAAACTGTCCATCCAAGTTTGGCACACATTTCCATTGATAGTTTTTACTGAATTCTCTGGAGACAAAGAGGAATGAAGCAACAAGGTCATCTGCAGGGAAAATTAGTTATACAGTAGTGTTTGTTAGTATGTGATAGTGATGATACATCCCATATGACTGGAATCGATAAACTTCAGCAGGAAATCAAATCACACATAAAAGGAAACCTATACGGAAAAAGCATAAAATCAAAAGGAAAAAAGATCTGGAAGAGAAGTGCACCATAAGATCGCCCACTGAACTATAATCAATTTCTTAAATCACAAACTTTTTACTTTCTTGGTTTAGTTTTTAGAATCTCAACACTCTAGTCAAGCAAAATACCTAAAAATTAATGCATTTATTTCTAATCAATAAATTAATAAATCATCCTAATATGAGGGTCCAGCGGTATTCCTTCATCAGCTTAACGTATACAAGGGAATGTTGCTAATGCTAACTGAATTTTTGATTACCAAAAGACGTTTCACAGCTATGCAAAGAGAATGTGAAAGTATTTGTCATCATGTGATCAAACCTGGTGACTCCATGCTGCTTCGACCAAGTGAGTGCCATACTCTTCGAGCATTTCATAAAGAAGAAAAAATGCCTCCCATTTCTGGTAGCAACTGGAAAGGAAATCACTTTTGTTGCCAATTATCCCAACTCCCAGGGACTTAGCTTCCTCCTCAGCCCACCTTTCCCTTTTAGTCATACCACGATAGACTAAACTTCTCTCGTCTATGGTCTTAACAGTGGTTTGATACTGGTTTTTCTTGTCTAAATTTATGGTTCTCTTCAGTATATATAAAGATTGCTTCCTCACTGAGCTCTCTTTATCAACCTAAGAAGATTACATATATTAGATAATAAAAAAAATTTACTTGTAGGCTTGTCGCAAGCGCTATATCAAACAATGGAAACACATTATAGTAGATGCACAACATACCAAGCCTTTTTTCATTTCATCCCAGAATTGTTTCTCTGCTCTCAAATCAAACACTTCTGCCGTGCTACTCATATAAATATACTGGCATTCATCAGTATTAGTAAAGAAAGACAGGTACAGAGAAAGTATAGAATATGCATCTCTTCTCTCCAGGGGCCCCAAAGAAAACAATGTCTTGCAACTCTTCCATAGTTTCTCTAAAATACTTCTCCTAAAAGAGCAATAATCTAGTGGCATAAGTCCAGAATTCAGACACTTTATACATGAATAAGTAATCATCATTTCATGTCCAATTAAAAAGAGAATTTTACCGAGAAAGTATATAGTTCTGTCCAATAATTGAGACTTCAAAAGCAGAATGAGAATCAAGTGCTTTGAATATGGAGGGAAGCAAAAAGGTAATTGCAGAAGACCGATGCTCCAAGCTTTGTGAAAGCATTTGAATTGTAATATTGCAAAGATCCCAGAGCAACTTTGCAGAAAATATATCAGTGCAGCATCCGTCTACGGAGTCCAATCCAGATACTGATCTCACTGTATGTAAACTTTGCTGAGCAGCTTCTAGTATCAAGGTTAAAATATGACAAGAAACAGGCAGCGGCAAATAGTTAGGATTGCATTGCACAAGATTGTCATATATCTCGTTGTCTCTTAACTGCGAACATAAATTTAGTGTGAACTGTGGCTCCAAATGCCGGTCTTCTGAACCATTAGAAGTCAGGCACCATTTATAAGTATCTAACTCTTCACTTTGAATCTCAGTCATAGATAGTCTGACCAATCTTAACAAAAATGGGATAATGGTTACGTCAGCAACCCCCCAACTGTTTGTGTCAGAGACAACACTGAAAGTCATGCCTGCAACCTAAATCCGTCATCACGTTCAGTCAGAGAAAATCAGAAACCAAATTTTGGCCCCAAAAAAAAAAATCACATCACCTATAATCTGAAGTCCATAAAATTTTATATATCCTTATTCAACAGAAATGAATACTTTTACCTTGTTATATAATTCACGATCAATGGAATGAACCAGCTTCATTAGGGGAAGAAATATTTTCCAAATCAATAACTGCATATATCTAGTCTCAGCTCCTGCAGAAAAGGTATAAAAGGTATCAAGCCAGTAAAAAGTTTGAGGCCAAATGAAACGATTTGAAGCCTATAACTAGAATCCAACAAAAACTCTCTGGCTGACAAACTAATATTTCCAAGCCTCACAGACCACAATGGTTAAAATATTTGGAGGAATGAATATGATCCTTAAGATAGGCAAGCGAGATAATGATGCAGCATAAATGCACAAGCAGGAGCAATTCTAAAATTCTGTATGACAAGCCACAGGAAAAAAAAGAAAAAATAAGGGCAGCCCGGTGCACTATGCTCCCGCTATGCGCGGGGTCCGGAGAAGGGCCGGACCACAAGGATCTACCGTAATTCGTATGCAGCCCCTGCATATTTGCAAGAGGCTGTTTCCACGGCTCGAACCCGTGACCTCCTGGTCACATGGCAACAACTTTACCAGCTACGCCAAGGCTCCCACATGGCAGCAATAATAAAGCAAATTTCCCACATGACAAGCCACAGAGAAACTTTAAAATAATTTTATTTTAATATGCATTATATTTTGTGTGAGAAGGCACGGGAGAAAATATGATATATATTGATATATTTTGTGTCCAATACAATATAAGAGGTCCTTATTTATAGCTATACTATACAAGGATATACTACTCCTATTCCAATGTGGGATAAGACTACATATCTAACACTCCCCCTCAAGCCGGTGCATACACATCATATGTACCGAGCTTGTTACACATGTAACTAATACGAGAACCAGCAAGAGACTTAGTGAAAATATCTGCTAGTTGATCATTCGACTTTACAAACTTTGTAACAATATATCCTGAAAGTATTTTTTCTCTGACATAGTGACAGTCGATCTCAACGTGTTTAGTCCTCTCATGGAACACCGGATTTGATGCAATATGAAGAGCAGCTTGGTTATCACACACTAGTTCCATCCTGCTGATTTCTCCGAACTTTAACTCCTTGAGCAACTGCTTGACCCAAACTAACTCACACGTTGCCATAGCCATGGCCCGATATTCCACTTCACTGCTAGATTGAGCAACTATATTTTGTTTCTTGCTCTTCCACGAGACCAAATTACCTCCTACTAGAACACAATATCGAGATGTAGATCGTCTATCAGAAGGTGATCCTGCCCAATCCGCATCTGTGTACCCAACAATCTGCTCGTGGCCTCGATCCTCGAATAGTAATCCTTTGCCTGGAGCTGACTTTATATACCGAAGAATACGAACAACTGCATCCCAGTGACTATCACAGGGAGAATCCATAAACTGACTTACAACACTCACCGGAAAAGAAATGTCAGGTCTAGTCACTGTGAGGTAATTCAATTTTCCAACCAACCTCCTATATCTCGTAGGGTCTCTAAGAGGCTCCCCCTGTCCAGGCAGAAGCTTGGCATTCGGATCCATAGGAGAGTCAATAGGTCTGCAACCCATCATTCCAGTCTCCTCAAGAATGTCTAAGGCATACTTCCGCTGTGAAATAACAATACCTGAGCTAGACTGAGCGACTTCAATGCCTAGAAAATACTTCAATCTGCCCAGATCCTTAGTTTGGAAGTGCTGAAAGAGATGTTGCTTCAGATTAGTAACACCATCCTGATCATTGCCAGTAATAACAATATCATCAACATAAACTACCATAAACCACCAGATAAATACACAGATTCGGAGCGGGATGCTGATAAAACATAGAGTGATCAGCCTCACTACGAGTCATGCCGAACTCCTGAATAATTGTGCTAAACTTACCAAACCAGGCTCGAGGGGACTGTTTCAAACCATATAGTGACCTGCGCAATCTGCATACACAACCATTAAACTCCTCCTGAGCAACAAAACCAGGTGGTTGTTCCATATAAACTTCCTCGTCAAGATCACCATGGAGAAAAGCATTCTTAATGTCTAACTGATAAAGAAGCCAATGACGTACAATAGCCATGGACAAAAAAAGACGAACAGATGCTACTTTAGCCACGGGAGAGAAAGTATCACTATAATCCTACCCCCACTGTTTTTATTTCATTCCGACCACTTTGAATTTTTTCCGGTTGCTACAGTAATATTCCGAGGGTTACAGTATTTCTGGAGTGAACAGTGTTTCCGGCGCAGAACAGTGTTCTGTTTTCCTGCTGTAAACAGTGTTTTCTCAACGATTTCTTCAGTTTTCCCAAAGGAGTTACTAATTTTCACTATTTCAAGTTAACCCTACTACTATTAATTGTAACGACATGGGAACCGATGCTTCAAATAGTCGGATGGTTTCTTTAGTGGATTATTTTGAGTTTCTTCAGTACAAAGCAGGTCAGCAGACATCTTCTGAGATAGCTTCCGTTGTTCAGACAGGTAATAGCGTGACTTGTGTCTCTCAATCTTCATCCTCTGAGTCTTGGGTTATTGATTCAGGTGCATCGGATCATATTTCCGGTAACAAATCTCTTTTCACTACTATTTCGTATTCTCAATCTCTTCCAAGAGTCACAATGGCCAATGGGTCTCAAACCATGGCAACTGCAATAGGCCAAGCAAGCCCAATTCCTTCCTTACCTTTAGATTCAGTTCTTTATGTCCCTAATAGTTCTTTTAATCTCATAGTTGTTAGTCGCCTAGCCAAATCACTTAAATGTGCCGTTTTATTTCTTGATAAACATGTTTTTATACAGGAACGCAGTACAGGGCGGATCATTGGTACCGGGCATGAATCAAATGGACTTTTATTACCTTATCCTTGCTAAATCACATGGACTCACATCTTGTCTTCCTTCAACAACTTGTC